AACCTGGAACAAATAAAATTATAAAACGGTAAGGAATAAAGAGTGATATTAACGTATGTGGAAAATGTTCTAACATAAATCCGGCATTCATGCCATGATAACATCTTTCTGTGTAAACATTTCTTATGTTATATATGTCACTGTCATTTTTTTCACACAATAACTTATTGCTTATGTTGGGTATTTTATACATTGACTTAATTCAATTGTTATTTACTTTCAAATACATACAATGTATATCATGATGGATAAATAAGATTATGGCCCGTATAATTTAGCTACCCAGAATAACTTGATGTCATTCTCATCACTATTATTGTATAATAGATGCTATATCAAACTTTCTTTTGTCCTGTTTTGATCAACTTAAAAGTAAAAAAACAAAAAACGAGAAACAGTGTTAGATCATGATAACAAAGCTTTTGTAAATCTTGACACGAGATTATAGAAAATTAAATACAATTAAAACTTATGTAAAGTAAAAATCCGAAAGGTCTCTTTTTTTAAACCTGTGAAAAAACACATCAGGATCGAAACCGGTAATATCACCACTGGTGGGTTCCTGTGTGTTTTGTTGGGATAATGCGGGTTACTGTGGACATAGGCGTACAACATTTGGATTATGAATAATTAATTACTTTCTAGCGTCGGATCTTGGTAATCAAGTTACCAAGGTGATCCGAGGCTTACCAATCTCATTTCCGACGATAAACAGTAATTCTGAACCTAGTGAACACTCCACATCCTACATCACTTCCTTCCGTTTAAAACCATTTCCTGTAAGCACAGATCGACTAGCTATAAGTTGTTTATATGTACATTTCACTGTTTTAATATAATTTGCTCCGATTTCTCATTTTATGTCAGCCTGGAAACAATAACTGTTGAATAATTTAAACGTCAATGGAACTCACTCAAGAACAAGTAGGCTAAATATGTTAAATTATTTCCAGTTTCTACGTGCAGTTACCCCAAGTCTGCTGAATGATGTAATATTGACAGGTCTATGTCATTTTAAATATAATTATAAGTATCACTATCCTGCCATATTTCATACATCTTCTGCTGGGAACCTGGCTTCAACAATTCCCTCCCCACTGAAACATCAACAGAAACCCAAAATAAAAACTTTGTTTTAACCGTTATATTTGAAGAGGTGTGATAACTATGTTAGGGAAGTATTGATAACATCGGATAAAAAAACAAATTTATTGTAATGACAAACAACTTTATTTAAGTAGCACGTGTAATAAACGGTATAATATATAAAGTACTTACACCTATCATATTTACCTGACCTACAAAAGGTATGTCAGGTAAATATGATGTCATCTAAGTGTACATTTGTCATGTGACGCGCTATGTAGAATTTAACTTGATCAAGTCTCAATTTTATGTTGATTTTAACTAGTTTTATTGAATTGAATTTGATGTTTCATGCATAAAGTACTAATCCTCTTCAGTCGGAATAGCAGGATTTTGTCATAATTTGATCTGAGGCATCCTTCGGTTATTCAATTTCAAGTGGTTATACATGCACTTTAAACATGTAATTCTTTTTATGTAATTATTATTATAAGATCTCTTTACATCGTATTCGTGTTATGGTATGCTGATCACGTGTTTTGTACACGAGACCGGGAAGTATCACGCGCTATCAAGTCATGGCTAGATTTTAAGACTCCTCCAATCTGTGTGGTATCCTTACGCGATATTTGGCGTCAAGTGACGTCACAAATAAAATGATGTTATATTCAATTGTCTAACCACAAAAGGAGATTACCTAATCGATTAGAAGAATTTGGAAATGAAAACGGGTGAGAATTTTTCAGACAATTTTGACACATTAATGTCCAAGTAAAAAAATCTGTTTATATTTCAAGATTGAATTAAGCTCAGTCTAGGTTTGACATTCTATAACATCTCGTTCTCGGCACCGCCTCCAATGAGACTGGTTTTGTTAGGGAATTTCGGCCCTTGCCTGAGATAAATCTATAACGAACACAAACAGGTAACATATTCTATTATTCTCTTTTACCAGGATGAGATTTTCTTGTCACGCCCTATGGGGATACGGGGAGGATTACCTATCAGAACAGTGATATGACGTCAGAGCAACAATTCAATGACGTCATGTCCGCAGTTAATCTGATAATGTTAAAGTACGTCAAAAATGCCAGGTATTGAGATAACGAGATTCGATGGATTAGGTTAGAGACAAACTTCGTATTAGCAAACTAAAGATATCCCCCTTCAAGTTGTGATCCCTCCTTCTAACCCACTCCCACAGGAAGCCTGTTATTTCATGCACATAGTCACATGACCATCGAGTTATAATGATAGCATGTCCACCGCTTTATTTTCACACTAATCACATCACCATCGAGCTATTTCATACTGTGGTCACATGTCTATCTTGCTGTCATGTTATACTGACCGCACGATCTGCTTATTACGTAATATTTATCACATGACAACCTTGATATCTTTATATTAATTATATTCTGGTCACATGACCACCGTGTTATGTATTGCATGTCATCGCAGTGAGTATTCCGTTATACAATAAACACTCTGTGATGTCGGAATTCACGAAGCAATGCAGCTAATGTGTAGCTGAGTGGCGCAGTGGTAAATTTTCCGTCTTTCATACGGGTAACAGGGATTCGATCCCGCGATCAGACGTGAACATCTGTAGTTTTCTCACTTGACTGACCTCGTTCCCCAAATATACGGCCTCCTCCCCCTCACGAGTTCCCTTCCAGAGCAACAAGTGTGATAAAATAAGTGCAATCATTTGAAAGAGTTTATTTGTAACGTGGTACAGAAATTCGACAATATTTAGAGAGAGCATTCAACGTCATTATTTTTCTCGTATTCTAATTTACAACGAAATCTAAAATGATGAAACCCCCACCAATATTTCTTGGCATGGTTATAGTTAAAAACGAAAATGAATCTCGCATAAACTGGACTACACTCAAATCATAATGACGTACCAGGATGACTTAAGTGTATAAGGGTTCTGAAATGTTATTTCTGTGGCGACGAGACGGGATTGTTCAGGTCTGTCACAGAAGGAAAATGTTTCAACTTGACATATCATCCATGCTAGGTCTTATCCAATTAAACAACGTAAACGTTTCTTTATTGCATGCTTGAGTCACATGAAATGTTAGTTTAGAGTTACACGCAAACAGGCTGTTAATTGTGTTGTATTAGTGTCCCGTTATCGAAGTAGTATAGATATGGTATATAATACCCAGAATTACAATGCATAAATGTTTGCTATGACTACAGGGAGTGCAGGTAGAAAAAGAGAATCCTGCAATTGTGTAGGTATTTTTTTACAACCATAAAAACACAACTATGGACGCACCCTTTTGAATTGATCGGCTAACGGTTGCTTTATTGTCGTACCTTTAATATCCCTGTTATAAAAATACATAGTTATTCATTATGTTCGGTTTGTTGTTATATTTGGTTTCAAAGCTAGTTTTATATGATACACATGCCAGTCCCTAGTTATCCTACATTCCGTATATAACCCTGGAACTGAAGCACCGTGTCAGTCCCAAGTTACCTCCCCTCCATTACTAGAAAAGAAAGTCCCTATTTGCCCAAAGTCTTCATTCCCCAGTTACCTTCCCTCCACAACTAGGAAAAAAAATGTCGCCGGTCATCTCCCATCTTTAACCAAGAACAGCACGGACATCACTAGTATTTCTCCACATGTTTCCCAAGTGTCAACAACTAAATTATTGACATCATTAGTATTTTCTAAAAGTCTCCCAAGTACCGGTAACCCTAGTATGGACATCACTAGTATTTTTTCTATAAGTCTCCCGAGTACCGACAACAAAAATATGGACATCACTAGTATTTTCTATAAGTCTCCCGAGTACCGATAACAAAAGTTTGAACATCACTAATATTTTTTCTATAAGTCTCCCGAGTACCGGTAACCCTAGTATGGACATCACTAGTATTTTCTATAAGTCTCCCGAGTACCAATAACAAAAGTATGAACATCACTAGTATTTTTTCTATAAGTCTCCCGAGTACCGATAACAAAAATATGGACATCACTAGTATTTTCTATAAGTCTCCCGAGTACCAATAACAAAAGTATGAACATCACTAGTATTTTTGCTGTAAGTCTCCCGAGTACTGACAACAACAGAATGGATATTCCTAAAGTACGGTTTGTTTTGTACGGTATCACTAGAAGTTCTGAAAATGTCGTCTATGTTGTTCGGATTTGAAGCTTCATTATCAATAGTCATTGGACATTGTGACATTTGGCCTCACATTGATATTAAAGTCTCCATCTTTTATGGTATCCAGTGATAACATCGCCATTTGTTACTCATTTATCTAAAACCTTGATCAAGCAATAAGAATCAGAACACAGTCAGAACTTTCTCTCGTAGAAACAATGAAGTGTAGAAGTTGTTTCCCCTCTGAATAAGGTCGTACTTTACACGAACTGATATTAAAAAACTCTAGATAAGATAAATGATTTTAAAGTTTAAATCCTGAGAGTGTGATTAATCATTGCGTCACTGATAAACATCTATGATAAAGAGTTATAGGCAGATGAACTTTAATATTGTGTTTTAGTAACATCGATTAAACAGTTATTTTTAAGCAGCGTAAGTAATACATTCCCTATCGTTTTCAATTGATATAAATGTTTTATCAGCGCATGTAACCCAATAAATGTGAAGATTTGAAAAATGACACACATCAAAAATGCACTAAGTGACACTCGTAAAATGACTAGGTTTTGTAAGAGATTAATGTCAAATGTCTGTGATGTAACACCTTTATAAAAACTGAAGGTTATAGTCGACACATTTCGCGGGAAATCATCACTGCACAAAGCATTCTGCCTGATTCAATGCTTTATTGTTAGATAATAATGCAAAAAGTTGGCGTCACCATTAAGTTCTCTCTGTTGGACTATTGTAACCATTAATTAAAGAAATGACGATGTTATGGCTGCTGGTTTGAGAGATGGCGATGTTGTGACTGCTGGTATGAGAGATGGCGATGTTGTGGCTGCTGGTTTGAGAGATGGCAATGTTGTGGCTGCTGGATCGAGAGAAGGCAATGTTGTGACCGCTGGTTTGAGAGATGGAGATGTTGTGACTGCTGGTTTGAGAGATGGCGATGTTGTGACTGCTGGTTTGAGAGATGGCGATGTTGTGACTGCTGGTTTGAGAGATGGCGATGTTGTGACTGCTGGTTTGAGAGATGACGATGCTATGATTGTTGGTTTGAGAGATGGCGATGTTGTGACCGCTGGTTTGAGAGATTACGATGCTATGACTACTGGTTTGAGAGATGACGATGTTGTGACCGCTGGTTTGAGAGATGACGATGCTATAACTGCTGGTTTGAGAGATGACGATGTTGTGACTGCTGGTATGAGAGATGACGATGTTGTGACTGCTTGTTTGAGAGATGACGATGTTGTGACTGCTGGTTTGAGAGATGACGATGTTGTGACTGCTGGTTTAAGAGATGGCGATGTTGTGACTATTGGTTTGAGAGATGGCGATGTTGTGACTGCTGGTTTGAGAGATGACGCTGTTGTGACTGCTGGTTTGAGAGATGACGATGTTGTGACTGCTGGTTGGAGAGATGGCGATGTTGTGGCTGCTTGTTTGAGAGATGGCGATGTTGTAGCTGCTTGTTTGAGAGATGGCGATGTTGTGGCTGCTGGTTTGAGAGATGGCGATTTTGTAACTGTTGTTTTGAGATTTGACGATTTTAAAGCTGTTGGTTTTGAGAGTTTGAGTGATTTGTAAGACGATGGTTTGGCTGTCGGTTTTGAGAGATTCTGAGTGAGTTGAAAGGCGATGGTATGGCTGTCGGTTTAAGAAGTTTCTAGTGGATTACGCTTTAAAGTATAAAAGGGTTCAGTATTGAGGAAATGACACAAACAAAACAAGTAATAGTGTAGACCATAGGGAAATAGTATTGATGTGAATGATTATTGGTGGTATGTGCAAATTTTTTAACATGGCATCTGGATACACGTTGTCGAGGAAAATGTTTCAAATCAAACACAAATCTATTTTTTTCTTTATTTTATATATAACTATATCAGGCCTTCTTCATGACACAATAAAGACCGTTCGGAATTCGATATAATTCAGATAACTACAGTGTCCATCGATACCACAATCTGCCACCGACTGCTCTCCACGTCTCCGAATGAGGTGACTTACCTTATTCTCACTGTGATTTGTAAAACCTCACTTTCCACATTTCAAAAGAGATGTATTTGTTGCATGAAATACGCGTCCATGTAAAAAATTAAGAAAGACATAATTGATAACTGTACTCGAGTTTGAATGGAGACTTGTATAATGTAGACATTTACTTCCACGCCCCTAACAAGTAGTTTAGAAGTCTACAAAGAACCATGCACACCACCCCCACTGTTAAAGGTTAAAGATAACGTCGAACTTGATATGATATCACGTTTAAATATCTGAATTATGACTGAAAGGTGTAGTTCCGTTCAATAATGACACACAGATATATAGTTTCGTAAAGTGGATCTGTGTACAAATCGTTGCAGTACTGTGACAATTGTAATATTGGTAATCATTTCCTAACAGAGTTTCTCCTCGTATTAACGACAGAGATGTGACAGACCAGTACAGGATCGGAATTACTTCTAACCGAAACCAAACAAAATCAGCACCATTTGTCTATTTTTTTATAACATTTATTCAAACATCGCTGGTATTGTCACGTTATATATCACAATTGTTTACATTACAATGTAACTTTGTAGTGGTAGGGTTAGGATCGGATAAATAGTTATATCTAAATTGGATTAGCGGTAGGTTAGGTAAGGATTAACAATTGAATGGGATTAGCTGTAAGGGTTAGGATGAGGATAAATAGTTATATATAAATGGGATTAGCAGAAGGTTGGGTTGAGGATTAACAGTTGATAGGGATTAGCGGAAGGGTTAGGATGAGGATTTACAATATTGATAATGACGGAAATTAGAAGTAGGTTCAAACGAGGATTAGAAGTTGATTTAGGACAAGGATAAACAAGAGTTATGTTGAAGGGGGATACGCTGTAGATTTAGGATAAGGATTTACAATAGTCATAATAATTGGGATTAAGAGTGGGTTTAGAAAGAGCATTGACAAGTAACACGAACAATAAAGAATCTATATTGATGTAGGGATTGGGGGAGGGAGGGGTGGGTGTTGGCTCAGTCGTACTTCCGCTCTGATATGTGTGGTTCGGCGCTTCCTGGTCGAGGTTGCTTGTATTTCTCAGGGACTTAAGAAAAGGTCCGGAGTGTGCTGGCGTGGTTATGTCCTTGGACAAGAAACTTTACCCTATCGACTGGCCTCCCGCGTGTAATTCAGTGAGGTGGTCGTCATCACTACAAGGGCACCCCGCTCAAAGTGCCACTGGTTGTTCACGAGGCGATAAAAAGGAAAAATTGGTGTGGATTTGTAATAAATTTGTAACATTAAATTCGAAAGAAACATCGCATCTTCTATATAGAGTATAGAAAGCGACGTTTATGAATAATTCACGCTGCTGCGGATGCTGGCACAATGTATATTAGAATCTCCCAAAATAGGACACACTCCTTATGGCAAATTGGTCTCAGTGCGACACCGAAATATTGCTTCCATCATATTTCGAGAAAAATCGAAGAAAACCTTATAGCGGTTATCAGTGGACATATTTCTGTCTCGGGCTTTCCTGGATTAGAAGAAATTATGCCATTTGCTGAAAAGCTAATTCGCGTTTGAATGATCGGAAAGTGAGTAAAGCGAGCCGTGAGTAGCTACAAAGCGGTTTATTTTTGTGGGGGCTAACAAGAAAAACTAGATGGAAATAAACTGGTAATGAAATGACCTCCGCAATATTGATTATACATCTGGTAGAATCAGGCGAAAATTTCCTTCTGACCTTTATTGTCACAATACCGTGACGTCAGTCGAATGAGAGGTATATTTTGTGTGTTAACGGCCAGGAGTCATCTGAATGGACATCGTCTATTAGGTTTAGTCCAAGATGTAATCAGTGGTCATAGTTTCTTGACGTCACATGGGAGGTTCAATATGTGGACTATTTCATGACATATGAAAGACAATCAAATATGTATCTAAACACATAATGTGACGTCAGGGAGGGTGTCATAAATGTATACACAATCTCGTGACGTCAGAGAGACGGTCAGATATAGATATTTCTGTGACGTCAGGGAGAAGGTAAGGATGTATACACAATTCTATAACGTCTGATAGAAGGTGAAATTTGTATAAATACAGAATCCCGTGACGTCAGATAACAAGGCTGATATGTGAGTCATAACCTTGTGATGTCACGATGAAATAAAAAAAATATAATCCAATCTCGTGACGTCAGATAACAGGTGTTTCGATGAGGTAAAATTGTTCTAGTCCTGTGCTTTCAAATTCTGATTGACGAGTTCCACAGAAGAGGACATGTACACCATTATTGGACGACAATTTGAACTATGCTAGTTAAAGGTATTTGAAAAGCGCGCTTTAATAGAAACCATCTTCAGGTTGATGATAACTAATGGATACATAGATGTAGAATATGTTACACCTGTAACTCTTGCTCGGCATTGTGAGGACGCTTTGGTACTACCGGGATGCGTATACTGAATACAGGTGATCGTTCATTACTATAGACAGCTTATCCTTATTACAATTTCTCGTGTTAAAATGCCATATCAAAGTACACGAGTTATAAATAACTCCTCGGCGATCAATGTTGAACTGTCAGACTTTGTCCGATGTGTTAGTGTCCCTGGAACACCTTACGGTATAATTGAAGAACTAGCCTCGTTGTGAATGTGGTATATTTTCAAACGTCTTTGTTGACATTGCTTGTTGACTCTGTCAACAGGGGAACATTTCAATTTTAATTAAACGTAAGATGAGAAGAGAGGTTTTACATTTGATCGTTTTAAACCTGAAGAGACTTTAAAATCCTGTCAAATGATATGACAACATTTGCATACCAAAAAGATACGATAAAAACAGTCATAAGGTGAGGAAGGTATGGATAGATGGTTCGACAAGATTGCAAACGGATTAATTTGTATACAATATACACCTGGCTGTAAGTTAGGGACCACTTAAATTGTGCTTAATGTTGTTCGTTTTATTTAACAAAAACATTCAATGGCAACTCATCACGCTATATAGGAATATCTTAGGCATCTAACGAAGCTATTTATAGTCAATAGGAAAAGAAATTTGCAGAACCGGAAGTGCTGTATCATTTTTAAAAGATGTACTCGAAAAGCATTCCTTAAAGTGAAGAAAAAAAAATGTCCTAAACAGTCTTTTATTAACAGATACGTCATCTCAATCAACAACATATGCCACATGATCAAGAAGATTATCTTATCATCGAGTTCTTTTGGATATGAAACGCAACCGGTACAATTTTAAAAGAAATGTGTTTGCCAAAAATACGCCCATCACTTCGATTTATTAAGTTCATTTCCATACCATAAGTACGTTTGTTAATTTCTGCAAAAAACGCACACTGTTATTTCTTTAGATCACCCACGGAAAGCTTTCTTAAACTTTCCTCGCTTTATATCATGTATTGTCAGATGGAATTGCTCCATCGAAGACTCCTAGTCCAGAGACGTGTGGTGCGTTACTAAGCATGACTTCCAAGATCAAAGGAGAATTATTGACAAGGATACACATTATGTACTAATATTTCTAAAACCCAAATACAGAAAACCATAAGTGATAACAATGAATGAGCGGAAGAGCTGTTTTGGAAAGTAGTGAAAACCGCACAAAAGAGAGTATACTAGCTTATGTCCAGTGGAAAGAAACAGAAGAACAGAGGTTTTCGTTAAAACGAGACATTGTAATCTACAACTAATTCTGGCAGATCAGCAATAAAAAGTCTATCAAGCGAATTCAAATGTTCAGCTAGAAGTGTAGAGAAAGCTATACACGACAATTAAGTCAAAGAAAGGGTATTTCAATGGCAGCCTCTCCTTATAGATATCTATGGATGAGGCAGTATGTATTTCGCATAAGAAAAAATCAGATGACTTCTCATATATCGATACCTACGACTACAATGTTATCCATAGTAAAGGAGTCGGAGACAAAGAACGGAAATGTACGATTCTGCGATGGAAACTCAGATACCTCCCTAACAGTTTCGATCAACACATATTAGATATTTAGTCTTTAGCTTGCAGGAAACGGGTCATTGAAGATAGGTCATTGTGGTCCAATGAAATGAGCTTACAGAAAATGGATCAGTATGAATACAAATGAACCGAGCTTACAGAAAACGGATCATTGTAGATTCAAATGAACCGAGCTTACAGAAAACGGATCATTGTAGATTCAAATGAACCGAGCTTACAGCAAATGAATCATTATGAACACAAATGAACCGAGCTTACAGAAAATGGATCATTGAAGATTCAGATTAGCTGAGCTTACAGAAAATGGATCATTGCGGATCCAATGAACCTACAGGTACAAGCATGAGTGAAGAAATTTAGGATTGAAGTCTCCAGGCAACCAACATTACCTTAAAAAATGATCGGTACCAAGTCAGTTCGCCCTGGGCACGAAACCACTCTGATCATTTCCAAGCTTCGCTGGAAAATCGTAGTCAACAACAAGTGTTTTAGTAAAACAAATATCATTTAGTTGTCAACGAAACCGGAGAAGGTTGATATAGGCTTGGTGTGTTATTCTGTATTCCAACTCATACCATAAAATTATCTGAAATAAAGTG